GCAGTCTGTGTGTGTATTCAGCTATCTGTGAGTGTGTGTGTGTTCAGCAGTCTGTACGTATTCAACAGACAGTTTCCAGATGGCTTCCTGTCATCCACTTGGTAATGTAATGCCAGCATCACCAGAACCATGCAGGAGTAAGATTACAAAGAGGTGCATCTTTAGGTAGAGAAATGAGGACTGTTTATTTTTATTTTTAAAAACGTCTATGATTGGAATGAGTGGAATAGCATGGAGCAGGGAGGCTAGATAGGATCTCTTGCAGGTTAGCATAATTTTGAGCTGAGGGGCTATAGAGAATTACGTTTGTAAACCTTATTTTCCTTTCTCATTGTGAATCATAGAGAAAATACACATTTGAACCCTCACTATTATTCTACAAGTATCTGTGTGTGAATATGTCTGCATGTATGATTGAATGTATATCTGTGTGTATCTATGAGTATGGGTGCATGCAAAAATATGAATGTTTCTGAGACTGTATGTATTAGTGTGCGTCTTGATGTAGATATTCAAGAGTGTGTTGTGCTGTGTATCTGCACTAATGTGAAAAAGTTGAACTTGAAAAATTTGAAAGAGGGCTGCTATGCCATGAAATGTCTGGGTCTATTTTTTTTCTCCCAATCTCCTGACAGCTACCCACACATAGATGAACACCTCACTCACAGCTACCCTCACATAGCCAAAAACCTCATTCACAGCTACCCACATATCATACACTGTAACATACATCACTGACTGCGACACAGATCACTCACAGCAACCAAAACATCACTCACAGCTATTCACTCAGTCACACATATCACTCACATCTACTCATACATCACACACACAAAGCCACAACACATACCTCACACACAGCTGCAACGCTTACAACCACCGCACACAACACACTGTTGCCACACACACACAGCCTTATAATGAATATTAATTTAATATAAAATTAAAGGGTTACTTTAACCCACATGGCTCCTTCAGTGCTTTGAATTTGCTATTGTGGTAGAAACCCTGCACAAGGGAAAACATAACTGTCAGTTAACGTTTGTCTTAACCCTACACCAGTCTAGCTGATTGTTCGCATGTCTCAACTAGGAGACTAAGATAAACCATAATCTATCTCCAGCATTTCCTTCTTCTGCTGCACGTCTTAGGTTCCTCCAATAAATCTAGCATCAGTTCAGAAGACTTATCAACTCATTCACTCTGACTTTCAACTTATACTTGACAGTACTATAGCTCAGGTTTTTAGTGACATCCTTAAATGGTTTAATTGGTTCTAGTGCCTGGACTCACTAGTACTGTCCTCAATTCAGTGTCAAACCATATGTGAGTAGTTTAACATTGAATCAGTGTCTCTGGCTTCCCATAGCCTCGGCCCCACTAGAGTTGTGGCTAAGGCAGAGATTGCAAACTTCCTTGTAGCCATACTGATACATATCTGCAATGGCACTGCGATAGGCAGAATGTGGTCAGCTAACACTCTCAGCCAATCACAGCTGCCCATTGCAGCTCAGGCTAATGCTTCCTTATTAGTCTTCGCATAGAGGAGAATGACTGCTGGAGATTGTTTAGCATTAAAACATTAAAAACTGTTGAATAGAACAACATAGCATTAGTGGACTCCAAGCACTATAACCACTTTAATCAGATGAAGCACTTATGGTGCCTACAGTGTCCCTTTTAAGGACTGCTTCTAGCTACCCCATCACTGTACAATCTTCTATGCCCAGCAGAGACACAACCTCAATGTACTAGGTCCTCGATGCCTTGCCATATTATGAACTTCCATCTGCTGCTCCAAAAGTCCAGCCCCAACATCTCCGAGTAAAGTACCACTGTGTATTACTGACATCTTCATACAACAGTGGAAATAATGACAATCCTTCTACAACAATCAAGTAAGATTGCAATGTTTGAATTGCTGATTTTTTCTACAAGATAAAGAATGTGTGCTGCACAGTTCACACCTAGAAAGTCAACCTCTCACAGAGCTTTTATCATGTTAGAGGTTCCATTGGTGACTACAAAACAAAGAAAATGTGTGAACATATGGGAGCCTTTGCTGTACTACTGCCACTCACAATGACTCTCTACTGTCAATGTATTATTGTTCTGTATGTTTCAATTGCAGCAAAAAATCTAAAGTTTTCATGTAGAAGAAAAACATGAGTATGCCAAACACTTCATGGAAACAGATTTATTGGTGAAACTAGCATACTTTTGATATTTTTGGAAGTTAAAAGCGCTGAACCTCTCCCTGTAGGGAGGCAACATGCACATTGCTAAATTGGCCAAGAAGATTTCAGCTTTAAGAAAAAAAATTAGAACTATGGAGATGAAAAATGAATGAAGACGGTGGCAAAGATTGTTTCCCCTTCTTGTAGCAGTTCATTTTCTCCAATGATGTTGATTTCTCTCGCAATATAAAATCACCTAAACCCCAAAAATGAGTTGAGCTGAATCAGAACAAACACTCCTAAATGGGGGTTACCCCTAACTAACTTTGCAAACATATGTGGCAGCACTATTTATCTGGTTTTAACACAAATATATTTCACTAGCGTATGTGATGGAGCCTTTTTGTAGCCGTAGGGACTTTAAGACATTTTTATATTTTCTTTTGAGTACAGTGAGGTGCCCTTGAAGGTAGAGATGAGCGAACCCGAACTGTAAAGTTCAGGTTCGTACCGAACACTAAGATTTTTTTGACCCCGAACCCGAGCTCGGACATTTCAGTAACAGTTCGGGTTCGAGTTCGGTGTTCGGCGATTTAATGGCGCCTTTTGAAAAGCTGCAGGGCAGCCATTGACTTGTGTGCCCTTAGAAGCCATCACAGCCATGCCTACTAATGGCATGGCTGTGGAAACAAACATACACTAAACATACCCTGGATGCCCTCCTACCCACCACCCAAACCTTATTGAGAGTGTGGGGTAAAATGAAACACAAGCTAGTGAGGAAACCTTAACTACCCCTAGCCACAGCATTGAGAACTACAGGAATGGAGATACCTACATTTTCGTGGGAGACACGAAAATGGGTGAGGGGGGTATCCACCACATATACCAAGTCATAGATAGGGGACGAATAGTACCCTTTCCCGACATACAGACCAAACACAACTTACCTACAAAAGCAATATTCTCCTACCTCCAGCTTAAATCTTATGTGACTGACAAACTGGGAACCCGGGCAGATAATACTGAAACAACCCACATGACCAACTTTGAAAAACAATATGTGGAAATCGCACCACTCAAAAAACGATGTCCTGGGGATACCAGGAATTACTTACGCAACAAACACACACATTAGAAGAGATAACATTGGCGTGGCAGCGGGACATAGGCCAAAACATAGAGAATAGGGACTGGGAGAGAGCCTACATAGCCCACAAGGGCCTCACAGCATGTGCCACACACCTAAATTTACAGCGTAAAATCTTTTATCGCTGGTATCTAGGGCCAGACAAACTACACAAGCTATGCCCAGCGACCAGCAACATATGCTAGAGGTGTGGGTTGGAGGTAGGCACAATGATACACGTCTGGTGGACATGTACCGCACTTAGACCATTCTGGAAGGCAGTAACGCACTTAATGCAGAAGATGTTACCTGCCCCAAGGGTGGATACCCCACAGATATGTCTCCTATTTGTCCTACCGGAAGGCATACCAAAACACATCAAGGTGATACTCTACCATACACTAATATCAGCCAACCTGGCGATATCTAGACTGTGGAAAAAGGCGTTTACCCCGTCAATAGCCGATCTTATAAAACAGGTAGACCAAAACTAGGCATACGAAATGATGATATCCACACAATTTGGCGTACGCAAAGGTGTCAAAGAGGCACAAGATCTATGGGGAACACACACAAAAGATTACCAGAATACACATCTGAAACCTAGTGCAACGCTGAATTAAGTGACACGTAAGCCATAAATAAAAGGGTACCAAGATGAGAACCAATTAGCATGAAGTGATGACCAAGCGATATATGGCTACCAAAACCACATTAGACGGATGCCACCACCACACCATAACTACTCGGGCACCCATGTCCTTAACATCTCACTAATCCCATATGGTCGTGTTGTATTCGTATATGTATAACTTTGCCTTGTCTCCATTTGTAAATGTATAACTATGCCTTGTATCCATACAAACTGTACCTTCCCATATCCCCCTGTTTTTTTTTCTGTGTTCCCCATGTTATGACTTTTGACATATGAAGAAAAAATAAAAATCATCAATTGGAAAAAAAAATACTGTGGTAACATCGCACTTTTAAAAATTACAAAATTTGGGGTGCTAAATAGTACATTTGCGGCCTGCAGTGCACTTCATATCTGAGAGTCAAATAGAACTGTCAAATACTGTGGTTACATCGCACTTTTAAAAATTACAAAATTTTGGGTGCTAAATAGTACATTTGCGGCCTGCGGTGCACTTCATATCTGAGAGTCAAATAGAACCGTCAAATACCGTGGTTACATCGCACTTTGAAAAATTCAAATTTAAACCATCTGTTAGTTTGGTGGATGAACGCAAAGAATGAAGAGAGCGTCAAATAAGGGATGTGGCAGCACTCCAGCTGAAGCATTAACCCTAATCCGGGCTGAGCTCACCCAGATCTCCGAGAGGATGCTGACCAGGGCAGACACAGGCACCCTAGTCCGGGAACTACGAGCAGCCCTGCGGGAGGAATTAACAGGCCTACGTAAAGACCTGAATGCACTGGAGCAGAGAGTGGGGGAAGTGGAGGTGGCGGCCTGAGGATGTGAACAGCAACACAGGGTGGCAGGGGTGGCGGCGACCAAGCAAGGGAATATTCTGCTTACCCTCCGCCGACAAGTTGAAGATCTGGAGAACAGAAGCCAGTGCAATAACATTCGCATCCGCGGGCTGCCAGAGACGGAGGTGGGGCTGCTGCAGGCAACACTGGAGGCGCTGTTTAAGCACATCTTGGGAGCGGAGGCGCCAGCCGACATTAGAATGGAGCGTGCGCACAGAGCGCAGGGGCCACTGCGCCAGGATGGCAGCCCCACAGATGTGGTGTGCTGTCTGCACCTTAGAAGCCTGAAGGACAAAATCATGGCTGTCGCAAGGGGGTCGGCCGCTGTCCGCTTCCGTGGCTCCGACGTCTCCCTGTTTCACGACCTCTCTAGCCTAACATTAGACGCCAGGCGAGCTCGGAAGCCAGTCACCAGCATACTCCGGGACAAGAGGATCCTATACCGATGGGGGTTCCCGTTTAGTCTACAGGTTAAACATGGCCACACGTGGCTGGCGGTTCGCTGGCCGGAAGAAGTCCCGGGCCTGATGAGAGCACTCAACCTGCCACAGCCTCGTGTCCGCAACTGGATCCTGGAAGAAGCGACAGCGGCAAGACGGGACCCCCTGACCCCCAACGGCTACACAGAGGCCTCTACCACGGAGAGAGCTCCCCCAAGGAGGTGGGTGTTGCATAATCCTTCTCTCACCAACAATACTTCCAATTGGTATCCTTTTGAGAGAAATCCACTCTGCGTTGTGTTTTAATAGTGAATGTAATATCCCTGTGTCACCTCTTCCAAGAACTAACATATATCTTTATCCCCTTGTCCAGATAAATATATGACTAGCACTACTAAGGTATTCTACCCGATATTACAAATAAACAGCCAACACCATAGTTCTTAACAGAGAGAAATCTTTACTTAGAATCTGCCCAGTTAAATATTACAGAAGAAGAATGTTACAGAGTTATAGTTAAAATACATTCATAACACTCATACATTCCATCTATCTAATACTATCTGCTACATTGTGTATGTGCTGTGCGATGTTATGTGCAGCTTGTGTGTCTTACCAAACCTAATCTAATGTGATGTCAGTATCTTCTATTTTTAAAGAAATTGGTTCCTCCGCTCAATTGATATGTAAATGTGATTTACTTTCCCAAGGCCTAAAGTGCTGTCTATCCTGTTATTTTATTTAAGTGTCAACTCTCCCAGCCATCCCTTTGCCTCTAACCTAAGGTGTGTTTTCCTAGATAGAAGACCAGTTGATATGTAAATGTGATCGGTGCCTTTCAGGTGCTGTATCTTTCCAACTGTCTAAACAGAAACTCCCTTTGAAGATAATTCCTGACCTCCCATACACACAGACTAAATTAAGCACATATTAAACAGATATATACATAATATTTTCCCCAACAGTGGGGAGAACCGGAGGGCCCGGAGGAATAGCTTCACTTACATCCTGTCAGATTTTGGGGAGACTGGTGAGTCTCTGGACGCTTGGGAGACATGGGGATTATGGGGACTGGCAGACTACCGGGGAGGACACGGGCACACCTGGACATTTGGGGTGGGGTATTGCAGGGGGGGACCTGAAGGGGTAGCATAGTGATGACTCACAAGCCCTCAGCACGAGATGATTTTTAAAAAAATTTTTCTCTTGCTCCACTGAAGACGGCCCGAGCACAAGGGAACCGGAGGACCTACCAAGCATGGGCCCTCCCTACAGTTCAGCTACCCCAGAGGCTTGACACGCCATTGATACACAGGGGGCTTACGCACCACGAGCACAGATGGGGGAGGACCATGATGCTTGCTGGGGGGGCAGACTGGGGTCCTTAGCGGGGAGGGATAGCAGCCTCCATACGGGAAGAAGCAGCGCAGAACCTCCCTGACATGCCCCTATCTGCTGGCAGGCGAATAGGGGGAGGGCTTACTGCTATAACCGAGCCACACTTAACCCGCGAGAGCAGTCTTGGGCTCCAACCGGAGGGGGGCACCGGAGAGGGTGGGGTCATAGAGTAGGGACCACAGATTTGCCACATATGGGCGGTGGAGGAGTAGCTCAGCATACTTACGGGTCAGCGGGGTAGCCGAGCACGGGGACCATTGGAGGGGTGGGGGGGACGCCCTGTGCCCATGGGGGGAGGGGAAGGGGCCCGGGGGAATCCCAGCTGAGCTGCAAGAGCACACGCGAGCTACACTAGGGAAAGCGAGCAGCAGGGGAACTGGCGGGCCGCACTGACCCAATCTAGCAGACGCTGCAATGAGTGACCCACTCCAAGCACGCATACTAGATACGCGATAATAACCCTGGCCTCACCCCGTACCCACCAGACTGTGACCGGACAAGGGTGCCCAACCAAACCAGACAAGTAGGAACTGCCTGTCTTAGTGATCCTTACCCTGGGGGAGCCGACGAGGGTACAAGAAAGACCATAGACTCATACTACCGACTCCCAGCTCTCCCACCGACGAGAGACCGTACGCAGACCTTGACGCCGCATTTCAATGTACAGCTTCCGGAACAATCTTGCCTCCTTAGCCACACTCACAGATCAGCCAGGGGGGGTGGGATAGGGAACTACACTCTTTACAACCAACCCACGATCCCATTCTCACACGGGACATATCTCCTACCTGCTTATCACTTGACAGTGGGATAAACAGCATCCACGGCGAAGCCTGCGCAGTTGCAGTCTGGGTCGAGCACCCATAGGCAGACACCCGATTCGAGCTGGTGGGGAGGGTGTGGGTTGCTCTCTGGAGGGGGCCCGGCGCGACTCCCACACCACCAGTGTCAAGTCTACATACACCCGCTCACCGATCTCCATTTCCCTTCCCCCCCCTTCATCCCGCCCCTCCCCTCCCGGCGCCTACCATGGGGTCGGTATTTGTCCCCATGCCTCTCAATAATGTACGAAGATTGAACGCACCCGAACGGAGGTCACACCTACTGCGCACCCTGTGGGCGGACAGAGTCTCAGTCGTGTTCCTGCCGGAAACCCATTTCCGAGGGGACGGGGCTCCGGCCCTGAGAGACACACGCTACACACAGGGTTTTTTCGTAACCACCCCACTGCCAAAAAGGCTGGAGTTGCCATATTGCTGGCGAGAAATGTACCGTTCACGTGCACGACGACGCAGGCAGACCCCATGGGCCGCTTCCTTTTTGTCAAAGGCACAATCGCTATTAGCACGTATACCTTCGCGAGTATCTATTCCCCTAACTCCGGCCAACATAGATTTCTCAAGGCTGTGCCTCACAAACTCGATCGATTTCGCGAGGGCATACTGTTGGCCGCTGGAGATTTAAACGTGGCGTTGGACCCCAGACTCGACACCTCTAGAGGGGTCAGCTCCTATTCCCCTCATGGTCTGAGGGACATTAGGAGAGCGTTACAGGGGGCGGGCCTAGCGGACTGCTGGAGAACCCTCCACCCGGATAGCAGAGATTACTCTTACTACTCTTCAGTCCACAATAGGTACAGGAGGCTGGACTATATCTTTATGGCCCATGAACTCCTGCATTTGCTTGTCGCATCTGAGATCCGCCTGTTGGGCTGGTCCGACCATCACCCGGTATTGACATGTATCAAATCCCCCATATTCCGACCCAGAACCCGACAATGGAGAATGAATGAATGGATCCTCACGGATGCCTCCGTCGTCGCGGAACTACGTACGGCACTAGCTAACTACTTCGAAGAAAATTACTCCTCGGATATACCAGCCCTGACCCTGTGGGAGGCATATAAGTGCGTAATACGGGGAAATCTTATCAAACTATGTACTCAGAGGAAGTAGGAGCAGCAGAGGAAGAAGGAGCGGCGCGTGGGGGAGCTTCACAACTAGATTTCAAAGCTGGAGGCGTCGCATAAGATCACGCAGTCCGAAGAGGACTACAAAGCCCTCCTGGATGCCAGGAAGACTCTCCGCGACATCCTCCAGTGGAAGCTGCAATATACCATCCGGAGGTCACACCGCTTCTTCTACGAACACTCCGATAAATGCGGTCACCTCTTAGCCAGAATGTTTCAAAAGAGGAGAAGAATGTACCACATCACCAAAATAAAAACCAAAGACCAGAAAATGACCCAGATGCCGGATGAGATAGTGGATTCCCTTTGGGACTTCTACGAAGCCCTATATAACCTCCCCCCTGAGACTATCCCAGATGCGGTACACCGGAGGGACTTACGGATCTCAGAGTACCTAAGGGAAAATGTCACCACCACGCTCAGCCAAGAGGCAGCAGAGGAGCTGGAGATGCCTGTATCACTGGAGGAGCTCCAGGCGGCCCTCAAAGGCGCCAAACCTAACAAGGCCCCAGGCCCGGATGGGCTGCCAATCAGATACTACAAGGAGTTCGGGGACGTACTACTTCCCAGATTTCTCGTAGGCATTAACTCCCTCCTGGAGGGAGGGATGCTCCAGCGGGAGTCTCTAACTGCAACAATAGCCGTCATACCAAAAGAGGGAAAGGACCCAGCCAGCTATTCTAGCTACAGGCCGATCTCGCTATTAAATGCAGATCTCAAGCTTTTCACAAAGATCCTGGCTACCCGTATCAGCAATGTTCTCCCGGAATTGGTGAGCCCCGACCAGGTTGGCTTCGTTCCCGGCCGTGAAGCTAGGGACAACACCATCCGGGCACTGAATATCATCCACGCGGCCGGGAGCTCCGCACAGAAACTTATATTGCTCTCCACCGACACGGAGAAAGCTTTTGATCGGGTGGACTGGAGATACCTGAAGGCTACACTGCAGGCTATGGATTTTGGCCCACACTTGATGACCTGGATACTTTCCCTCTATACGGTTCCGACTGCTAGAGTGCGGGTTAATGGTGCTCTCTCGACACCAGTTCTTATCCAAAACGGGATGAGACAGGGCTGCCCGCTCTCCCCCCTCCTGTTTGCCCTCTCCTTGGAACCGTTCCTGGGGGCGGTCAGACGGGATGGGGGAATAAAGGGGTTCACCATAGTTGACACGACGCACAAGGTGGCCGCTTATGCGGACGATATGTTGTTCTTCATCAGCGACCCCTTGGTCTCTATCCCGAACCTGCTGAGAGCCTTTCAGGAATATGGGCTCCTGTCTAACATGAAACTAAATACGGAAAAATCGGAAGCCCTACCCATCTTGATGGTGGACAACGAAATCGCCCACCTGCAGACCCAATTCAGGTTTACATGGTGCAGAACGAAACTTAAATACTTGGGGATCTGGCTCTCCACGGGTCCGACCCAACTCAATGCGCACAACTTTGCCCCAGTGCTACTCACGCTGAGACATGACCTGACGCAGTGGGCTGGCCTCTGTGTGTGTCGTGGTTCGGACGAATGAATGCTATTTAGATGAACCTCCTCCCGCTCCTGCTGTACCTCTTCCAAACGCTCCCGATAAAACTCCCACCGCTGTTCTTCCGTACCATTGACACTGCGATCACCAGATTCGTTTGGCACTTTAAGCCCCCAGACTCAAGAGAACACAACTGCAGCAGCCAAAGGCACAGGGTGGAGTGAGTCTCCCCTTGGTCCTGACCTACTAAAGGGCAGCCCATCTACACCGAGTGGTGGATTGGCACGCGCTGACGACGGACAAGGTCTGGATACATTTGGAGCGAGCGCAGACAGGGGAGTCACTATTAGTGGCGGTGTGGCTGGATAAGC